TTTGCAGTATCAGAAAGTGGCAGTGTCTTGATCGTGATAAACACATCTATGAAGCACCGGTTAGTGCTATAAGAGCCGCTGTGCGTGTTAATCGCGCAGCAACTATACGTGAGCTCGCAAGCAGCGACTGCGGAGAAAAAACGGCCCATAGTCAGACAAGATTGAGGAAAGAAGGACCGACCGCAACCGGAATCACGAACAAGTGAATCCATCTATCAAATGGTATCAATTTTGTTTAATTACATGCAAAACATTGGCCCTGCAACACCCCACATTCATTCGAAATCTGACCTCGCGATGGATGGTTCAAATTCGACAAATTCATCGCAACCAACCAAGCGAGAACAGAGGTTGGATTAAATCCCACTCGGGAAACGTTAATCAAATTTTGGTGCCTAGGGAACTTCCAGGGAGTTGTGGTGCTCATGTTTTCTAGAGGCTTGCTGAGAGCACTTAATTCCCAAACTAGATGAGACAACGAACTGAATACTTTCATGCTCCCCCTCCAGAATCAGAGGGCTTCCAAGGGTTAGAAAGTGTGAAAAGCCGTAAATGGAATAACAGTGCTAACAGTAGCCAATTTACCGATATCGCTCAGGAGGGATTCCGCATTTCTTCCTCAGTATTGAGTCACCTAAGTGGATTTTGCACGTACCTCGGTCGTGGTCATTCAGCTTGCGAGCGGCAAACGAGTGTGTTCAACTTTTGTTTTGTCAAAAAGGCTACCTATGGTGTCTTAGGATGTGGACCTAAAACAAATTCAATCTCACATATCGCTTGGAAAAACCCAGACTGAGTTGTCAAACTTGAAGTCACTTTGAAAAAACGTATCGATATACCAACCGGTTCCTTGAAAATCTTTAGGAGAAGAAGACAGTCTGAGACTGAGAGCGATTCTCTGAGCTACCGAGAGAGGGAGGCTGCCAGAAAGCGAGCCAGAAGAGAAAATGAAAGTGCCGAAGAGAGGCAGAGAAGACTCCAGCGGGAGGCTGAGCAGAGAAGGAGAAGGCGTGCACAAGAGTCGCAAGAGGAGAGAGATGTTCGACAGTCAAGAGACGCAGAAAGAGCTAGAATGCGCAGGGAACAAGAAAACGCAACTCAAAGAGGTGCCCGCCTCTCAGGGCTTGCTCAGAGAGCTCGAACACGTCGACAGCTAGAAGATGATGAGACTAGAGAGGCACGCCAGGCAGAGAACGCTGAAAGAGCTCGAATTCAGAGGCAGCTCGAGGATGATGAGCAGAGGGAAGTGCGGCTGGCGCGACTTGCTGAATACGCTCGATTCAGAAGAGAACGGAGGATGATGAGCAGAGGGATGAGCGGCTAGCACGACTTGCTGAAGAAGCTCGCGTTCGAAGAGAGCTGGAGGGTGATGAACACAGAGAAATGCGCCTGGCAAGGTCTAGCTGCAAGAGCTCGAGCCCGAAGGAGCTCAGAGGACGAGGAGCAAAGGGTCAGTAGATTGACGCAAGAAGCGGAAAGATCGAGAATGCGGAGGCAGCTAGAAACTGAAGAAAATCGAGAGGCCCGCAGGGCGGAAGATGCTACGAGAGCCAGGCGTACGTAGAGAGGGAGAAGATGAGGAGCTGCGACAACAACGCAACCTTGCTTCAGCACAACGGGAGCGCACGCGGAGGATTCTAGAGACATCAGCAGAAACTGAGGGAAGACGACGTGTTGAGGCTGGACGTTATCATGCCCGCAGAACAGCTATTTCACTGCGAACACGGAGGATGGCTAGGGGTGATGTAGATCCGGAAGAGCATTATAGTGGGCGGATGGATGTGTCATGTGGAAGTTGCGGAGCAAAGCATTTTAGAGCGGAATCGAGAGGCAGGGCGACTTTTAACGACTGCTGTAATCACGGTAGCATCAGTCTGCGGCATTTTAGAAACTATCCTGCAGAGCTACGCGAACTGCTACAAGTCAGGAAGCTGAAGCAAAGCAGTTCCGTGAGCATATTCGTAGTTACAATAGCGCGTTTGCATTTGCCTCTATGGGTGCACAGCTGGACACCCCACGTGGACATGGCCCGTACTGTTTTCGCATCCATGGGCAGATCTACCACAGAATCGGACCTGCCCGTCCGGAAAATGGTCAACCTCACCGCTATGGCCAGGTGTACATTCTTGACACGTCCATGGCAGCAGAAGAAAGGATGGGAAATCCGGCAAACGCACACTGTGACCCACGGCTTATGCATTCCTTAAGTGAGCTTCTGCATGGAATCAACGCCTTTGCCGAGGCATACAAAATGATGAACGAAGTAGCCATAGAGGAAGAATTGCGAGCTGCAAGGGAAGGGAGATCTGCGAAACCAGTGAAGAATGGTATTTGAAACACCATCCAACGTAGGACCGACGTCGGTACAACGTCCCTGTAGCCAACGAGGTGGCTGTGATTTACGTTGGAGACGACGGGGATGTACCCGCCGAACACAGTCTCGCAGTTCATTTGAGGTCAGGGGGGCTGCAAACCATCAGAGTCATAGATCCGGAGTGCGATCCCCTCACATACCCTATACTTTTCCCGCACGGAGAACTAGGGCTGGCACCCGAATATGCTCAAAAATCCTTCGGAAAGACGGCGAACCAGAATTACGCAAAAGGAGTACTACTCCAGCATGATCGCCGTACGAGATGACTTCAACCCACTCCACTTTGCGGGCAAGCTTTATCAACAGTTCTTGGTGGACAGCTATGTTAAAATCGAGCAGAACCGACTGAACTATGATCGAACCCACCAAATGGAACTCAGAGTGGACAGCTATCGTGGGCTAGCTGATTACGTGGCCGGTGACAGCGACATCGGAGGCCCGCCAGGAGTAAGGCGAGTGATTCTGCCGTCGTCATTCCCAGGATCGCCTCGTGCAATGGTCAGAATTATCAAGATGCGATGGCCATTGTGTCGAAATATGGGAAGCCAGACCTCTTCATTACTTTTACGTGTAACCCGACGTGGAGAGAGATCGCCGAGCAACTGAACCCTGGACAGACCGCTTCCGACAGGCCGGACATCGTTGCTCGCGTTTTTAACATCAAGTTGCAAGAACTTTACTGCGATCTATTCAAGAGGCATATATTCGGAGCGGTGAGTGCGTACATCTCCGTAATGGAATGGCAGAAGCGAGGACTCCCGCACTGCCACATGTTGATTACATTGGCAGAGGAAGACAAACCGCGAAGCATTGCTGATGTAGATTCCATCGTGCAAGCTGTCATTCCTGATCAGAACACGGAACCTCGCCTCCACAGTATTGTGACGACGTGTATGATGCACAGGCCCTGTGGAGTGGACAATCCGCATTCGCCGTGTATGGTTGATGGAAGATGCTCCAAACGATTCCCGAAGCAGTTCCGGGATTCAACAAGTTTAGAGGTAGACGGATATCCGGAGTATCGTCGACCGAATGATGGCAGAACGTGCATCTCCGGTGGGAAAACGCTTGATAACCGATCTGTTGTGCCATACAACAGGTATTTGGCGCTTCGTTACAACGGTCATTTGAACGTAGAGATTTGCGAAATGATCCAAGCTGTCAAATACATGTACAAATATGTGTACAAAGGACCTGACCGAGCTGCTTTGCGCATGGTGCGGAGAATGGATGGGACAGAAGGCAGAACGATCAACGAGATTGACGAGTTCGTTAATGCAAGATATGTATGTGCACCGGAAGCTGTACATAGACTGCTTGGATTCGATCTTCAGTCAAAGTCCGACACGGTTTATAGGTTGCAAGTCCACCTACCAGATTATCAGTCTGTAACATTCCAAGGAGGAAGAGAAGAAGAGGCACTCCGCCGAGCATCTGAAAGAGACACCACACTGACGGCCTTCTTCAAGCTTAACGTGGAACATGATGTGTTATACGGAGAAAGTGAGGTGCCTCAAGGAGAAAAAGATGCCCGAACACTGCTTTACGTGCAGATACCGGAGTTTTTCTCCTTTGACCAACAAGCGAGGAAGTGGAAGGCGAGAAGAAGGCAGAATCGTCAAATTGGAAGGATGTACACTGCGAATCCACTTGATGTGGAACGTTACAGTCTTCGGATCCTTCTGCTCAACAGGAAAGGACCGAAATCATTCGACGATTTGAAGACTGTTGATGGAGTAATCCACGATACATTCAAAGGAGCAGCGAAGGCGCTCGGATTGATGAATGACGATTCTCATTATGAAAGCTGCCTAAGTGAAGCATCGCAGTTTCACATGCCGGCTCAACTTCGATCTATTTTCAGCACGCTTCTCTGCTTTTGTACTGTTTGCGAGCCTGAGCAGTTGTGGGATAAGTTCAAGACAGCCATGGCTGGAGGACTACATCCACCGAGGATTAGACGGTGACGAGGCTGTTGCTCGTGCTTATTTTGACGTCATGGATAAGATGCTGATTTACGGTATCAATCTGGGAAGTCTGATCAGGCCTCCTACCGATCACAGACCAGAGCAACTTAATGACGAGGACTTCACAGTAGCTGAGCACGTTGCACGAGGAGGACGGCTATTTGAACAGCTGAACGAGAACCAGAGAGAAGCTGCTGATAATATCATGAGAACTGTGAACAGTGGCGATGGCCGACACTTCTTCATCGACGGTCCCGGAGGCAGTGGAAAAACGTTCCTCTACAATGCATTATACCACACTTTGCTAGGAATGGGAAAAAACGTGATTTGTGTGGCCTGGACGGGAATAGCTGCGAACTTGCTGCCCAGAGGAAGAACGGCTAGCAGCACTTTTAAACTCAATATTCCACGACAACAACAGATCGTGTGCGATGAAAAGGGAGTCTGCAGAGGCCAGAGCTCTTCGTAGCGTGTCTGTCATTTTCTGGGACGAGATATCCATGGTGCCGAAATGGACCCTCGAAGCTGTGGATCTACTCCTCAAGGACGTTATGCAGAATGGTCTTCTGTTCGGAGGGAAAGTGATGATCGTTGGAGGAGACTTCCGAGGTACTGCCAGTGGTTGAGAGAGGGAGACAAGAAGACCTAGAGGGTGCCAGTGTTAAGTCGCTCTCATTTGTGGCAACACTTTGAGACACTCCACCTTTCGACCAACATGAGAGCATCCCCAGAAAGTGCAGAATGGTCGAACACACTTCTGCAGATCGGCAATGGAACCTACCCGGAAGATGAAAACGGTTTCATCGAGCTTGCCGGCCGAAATTCGAAGTAGGTGGAGACCTCATTACGGAGATATTCGGTGAAAGAATTAGCACGACTGACGTTGAAGATCTTCCAGAGAAGGCGATCCTTGCTCCAAAAAACATACATGTTGCTCATCTTGAACGAGCTGGCTCTTCAACGAATGTCTGAGCAATTGGAAATGAAAATATACAAAAGTGTGGATGAAGCCGAGTACTCGGACCCCGAAGACAGTTTAAATTATCAAGTTGAGTTCCTGAACAAGCTCAGTCCTAGCGGAATGCCTCCTCACGAGCTAAGGCTCAAGCAAGGAAGCATCGTAATGCTGCTACGAAACCTCGACGTTTCCAGAGGACTGTGTAATGGCACCAGGCTGATTGTAGACCAGTTAGGAAGATTTGTTCTCGGGTGCCGCTTTGCCACAGGAAGCAGAAGAAACGAGTTTGTTCTCCTCCCTCGGATCGATAACTACACCGATAAAGGACTGCCGTTCCGTCTTAGAAGACGTCAGTTCCCAATCCGCCTCGCCTTCGCTACTACCATCAACAAGGCTCAAGGACAGACACTGTCGAAGGTCGGAGTATATCTCCCTGATGACGTCTTTTCTCACGGCCAACTTTACGTTGCGTTATCGAGAGTACGCAGCCCTGCATCGCTCAAAGGTGTTGTCTCCTCGAGGAAAGGTCCGGAATATCGTGTACAAAAATGTTTTATAGGTTTGCGATAGCTACACGAAAATTTCTGACATCACCATAAGTGTTGGAAATTTACGGCTGATGCATTTTATGTTTCCACTTAAACAGCGAAAACCTTTGCACTATTAATTTCAACTGCATTCGTAACCATTAATGTTTTAAAATTGACGGGATTTTATCGTTGCTGAACGGATTTTTCTCATAGTAACCGCTTGCTCATTTACTAGCTGAAAGCTAAACATGAGGGGAAAAACATTTCTAAGCCTACGCAGATTTAGAGCCGAACAGTCTGTCATAACTGCCAAGATCTTCTTGGGACATAATTTGCTCGGGCGATCCCTTCAACGATCCAACTTTATGGTGATAGAAGCATAAGCAAATCAGGCTGTCGCACTACTTATAAAACGCAAATTTCGCAGCGATCGACCAGCCGGACCTCTGGGAAGGAGAGAGATATCCAAGCTGCTATTCGATGGAGGCTGATCTGCAAGAACACTAAGAAGGCAAGCAAGAACACTGCACTTGAAAGAGCCTTGAGGCTTGCGGTAGATATGTGTCGACGGTTTGGCACGAGCGATCATGCTTGACACGTTCTACCTCACATGGCTTCCTCAGAAGGAA